TTTATCTTGAAAATTTGTTTTTATCTTCCCTTTTCACCTTTAATATCCTTTCTTTGCCCCTTTAATTCAACCTTTTGCTGTTTGTGTCCTCCAGAACTAGACTGAAAATTGCTAGGCTCCCCCTTTTTGGGAAATTTGTTTCTCTGGCTTTGAGATCTGTTCCTAAGTAGGTTGTTCAGGAACGAGACTGCCCCCATCTGGGATTTCCCTACGTAGCTTGGCAAAAACTAACTAGTCTGACAGCATGTGTAGTCTTTGCAATAGAAGGGAAAAAAATAAGTTTGTGGGAGGAGTACTAAGTAAGAGCTTTAAGAATTAATCTCCAATATTATTTTCTAAAGTTTATAACTTGAAGAAAGTACTATCATTTTTGTCTTCAACAATTTATTTTCTTTTTTCATTAAAAAAAATTAGCAGAGACTAGCACAAATATCTAGTGCTGCATTTTAGGCAAACTGGAAGTTGGGGTATTTTTTTCTAATTTGGGTGTGTATTATGTGACTACATGCCACTTTCTCTTTCTTCCATATCTTTCAAGGCACTGTGGTTTTGAAGAGCACCAACTTGCAATCTTGTTTTAACCTTGTCTATGGCTTTTACTTATAGGAAAAGTGAAATCAAATTGACTGAGGCTGTAACTCAGTCAGTCTTGAACCCATTTTCCCTGTGTTTGAGTTTTTATTTTAATATTCTTAAAGCATATGAAATTCTTGTATATAAATCTGCCTCTCCCACTGCCACCTTCTTCTCTTTTCTCTATGCTCCCATTATTCCCTCCCCCCAATGATGAATTTTATGGGTTTTTTGTTTATGTCACATTTGCTTTTGAAGGCATGTTCCACCCCTACTAAGAGCCTCACCTTTTAACAAAGACCAAAGGGATGGTTTGACAGTAGGAAACCAATGAATATAGTTACTGATTATTTCAAAAATATTTTTCAAAATTATTTAAAAATTTCATGATTTATTTACTAAAACCCTTTGACAGGGTACAGAATGAAATACTAAAAACCCCAAAAACATAGCATAGAGAGGGGTCTTTTTTAATGTAATAAAAAGTACCTAAAACCCAAAACAAGCATTATATGCAATGAGGATGAACTACAAATTTTCCTAATGAACATAGTAGTAAAGAAAGCAAGGATGCCACTTTTTCTAACTGTTATTTGATATAGTTTTAGAAAGACTAGCAATAAGATAAGGGAAAGAAATTAATGGCATAAAAGAGAGGTAATGAAGAAATAACATGGTTTACTTAGAAAATCCTAGGGAAAATCAGCAGCAAAGATACTAGTTGAGATGGTAGCTTCAATAAAGCTAGAGTCTACAAAATAAACTCAAAAATCAAGTGTTTCTGTGTAACAGCAGTCTAAGAGACAGTGAAAGGGAATTTATTTCCAATAATTTCAAAATGGATGGAATATTTGGGGATCTTTTTTAACAAAGCACATAATAAACTTGTGCATATTCAATTACAAAGTGCTCTTTAATAACAGGATTCATTTGGCATAACAAAAAAGGTCCAGAATATCAAGGGAACTAATGAAAAGAAATGCAGGATAAGGTGGCCTAGCCATTCCAGATCTTAAATTGTATTATGAAGCAGCAGTCATCAAAACTGCTTGGTACTCGCTAAGAAATAGAGTGGTGGATCAATGGAATAGGTTAAGTATGCAAGACACAGTAGTCAATGACTATAGTAATCTATTATTTGATAAACCCAAAGACCTCAGTTTCTGAATAAGAACTCTTTGACAAAAACTACTGGGAAAACTGGAAAAGAGTCTGGCAGAAACTAGGTATAGACCCAAATCTCACACCATATACCAAAATAAAGTCAAAATGAGTTCATGGTTTAGATACAAAGGCTGATATTGTAAGCAAACTGAGAGAGCAAGGAATAGTTTACCTATCAGATTTATGGAGAACAGAAGAGTTCATGACCAAACAGGAGATAGAAAACATTGCAAAATGCAAAGTGGGTAACTTGGATTACGTTAAATTGAAAAGTTTTTGCACAAACAAAGCCAATGCAACCAAGGTTAGAAGGAAAGTAGAAAATTGGGAAAGAATTTTTCCAACCAGTGTCTCTGATAAGGGCCTCATTTCTAAAATATATAGAGAATTAAGTCAAATTTGTAAGAATGCAAGTCATTTCCCAATTGATAAATGGTCAAAGGCTACGAACAGGCAGTTTTGTTTGTCTACCTCTTTCTCTGTTTCTCTAGATTTAATCATTCACAATTTTCATGCCTATAATGCTGCAGTTACTGTGTTGGGCAGGGTAATCTTTCATTACGTTTGTGTATCAGTTTATTTTGATAATATCCCAATTGGGTACTTTGTTTTACTATGTATGAAACTTTCCGTCTTTTGATTTCTTGGGGTATGTATGCCTAGTAATGGAATCTTTTGGGTTAAAGGATATGGAAATTACACATTGATTTCTTTTGTATACACTTGGTCAAGTCTTTAGCCTAACTCATCTTTTTTTCTATTTTATTTGGCATTTTAAAAAACCGTTAATTTTTGTTGTCTTCCTGTTTTTGTGTCACACACATTTGTGACTATTCCTCCCTTATCTATCAACCTATTTTTTTTTTAAGGCAGTTGGGGTTAAGTGACTTGCCCAGGGTCACACTGCTAGTAAGTGTCAGGTGTTTGGTCTGAGGTCAGATCTGAACTTGGGTCCTCCTGACTTCAGGGCCGGTGCTGTATACACTGCACCATCTAGCTGCCCCTAGGTACTTGTTCCTTATAGTAAATATTAAAAGGGAAAGAGAAAAAATAGGCCTTGAAAAACTTAAACCAGTGTATCAACTGTCTGACCTCCTATGAAATACTCCACATCCATATTCCCACCTCTGAAATAAAATGGTAGCGGTGCATTTTCTCATCTTTTCAGTCTAATTTGATTCATTATAATTGCCCTTTTTATACATCTTCATAGTGTCTCTCACTTAATCCAAAGGAACTAAGTTCCAGTATTGATGATATGGATAGAATACCCAGTAACTGTTTTTGGTTCTCACCCTCTATTTTGACTTAGGAGCCTGCCTCTCTCATGCGCACACACACACACACACACACACACACACACACACAACCCCCCCCCCTTTTTTTTTGTGGTTTGTCATACAGTGCTTTTCCTTAATAATGTTTCGCAATGAATGTATTTTAAATCAGCATTGTCCTTAAGTGTCATGTCTTTAGGATGTACAATTTTTTTCTGTCTTGAGATGATTCCTAGGCCATTAGCTTCTGTTCTACATCAGTTAAATAACTTGAGTCAGTATCTTTACTTTGATCCACTCATTGATATCAGCAGCTTTTTAAATTATAGTGTGTTGAAATTATGTTTTCCCGTCTTTGATTCTTTTGAATTTGATGTTGATTTTGACCTTTGCTGTAAACAGTCTGGTTAATTGGGCAGCTGATTCTGAAATTACTCCTACATTCATAATCAGTTCTTTCCTATCAAGATTTAGTTTGCCATAGCTTAACAAAATCTTTCTTAATTATAATCTCCTTTTTTTCCCTGAGTTATATTTACCATCTATAGTGCTGTAGAGAAAAAGGCAAGCTAATGCGTGAATGATGTCTTGGGGTTAATTTTAAATAGGGGAAAGTGTAGTAGGTAAATTCATAAAATCACATATCTGTTTTTAATAATTCATCACAAGTGGTAAGGGCAGTATTAAGTCATCATTTTGATATATATTTTCTTCCCCTCTTCCCCTTGCCTTTCTGATTCTCTTTAAGTTCAGCAAGCTATAAATATTTGTCATCAGTGAAGGAAAATCTAGAAAATTTAAGATGCGCATTTGCAGTGAGATAACTCCTTTTTATCAGTGTTTATTTACTAGTTCTCTTCATCACCAATCTTGTGCACAAGTAGATAATGCAAGTAAAAATACTCCGTTTAGTAAGGGGGAAGGAAATAAGCATATTAATATAGCACCTGCTATGTGCCAGACACTGTGCTAAATACTTTTGTTGAGGGGGAGAGGAACAACAAAATAAACATCCCCTACCTGCCCCGATCTTATTACATACTGACAACAGTGAAGTATATGGTCTTATTGTCATCCCCTTTTTGTAGATGAGAAAACCGAGGCAAACAAAGGTTAGTGACTTGACATGGATTACACTGATAGTGTCTGAGATGAGTTTTGAACTTCATAACTCTGGGTCTAGTGCTCTTTTCACCAAAGATTAAATGTCTATAGCAGTAGAGCTATTTATATTAGACAAGTTTTAAGGCAAATACTTATTTATGACTGTTGAGGGCTTTGGAATGGTTGAAATTTATAAACAGGGCCTTACTTAAAGAACTAGTTAAGATTCAGTAATCCTGGTTGATATTCAAAGATGATAGAAAATAACTTAGTGGCAAATGACATGTGCTGTAGTTCATGTGATGATTGTGTGGCCGTTGTTTTCCACTTTGTACAAACTGACTTTATAACTACTGTTTAGCTAATTAATATTTGCAATTGCTTCTGAATAGGAAGTTATATTACATTTATACAAATTATTATACAGCGTAGTATACATATAAATTGACAGCTTGTTTTATTGAGCATTTTATATTATCTGATGAAATCATTGCTACCTCCTTTAGGACAAAAAGGCTGTGCTCTAAAGTGGTGACAGCGATATTAATTTTACTGTTGGTAATCTTTTTTTAATTAAATTTTGAGGAAATTGCCACAGTTGGCTTAAATATTGGCTTATAATGAAAAGATATTTGAGAAAATTAAGTTCTAACCAGTTTGGATTTGCCACCAAACCTTGCTTATGAATTGTATTTACACCAACTAATAAGAAATGGAAGTAATGAACTCAGTCTCCCAAAAGCCCAGAAAGCCATGGATAAGATCAAGTAGATTCATTGTTTTATATAGGTTAGGTGAGATGGTCTTGTATTTTGGGTATCATATTGTCTTCTGTTGTAGATTTTTAATGTGAAGAAATTTATCCTATTTGTTTCTTAATAGGATGTACAGCTACCCAGCACGTGTACCACCTCCTCCTCCCATTGCTCGTGCAGTGGTGCCCTCCAAACGTCAGCGTGTGTCGGGAAACACTTCCCGCAGAGGCAAAAGTGGCTTTAATTCGAAGAGTGGGCAGCGGGGCTCTTCATCCAAATCCGGCAAATGTATGTTATTGAAATTGCAACTAACTATAGGTTTCTTAATTTCAATCTCTTAAGGATGTAGGGCTTTATTAGAAGTAGATAGCAATATTAGGAGGTGGAGCATCAGTGCACAGTAAGTGGTAAGAACAATAATTTTGGTGCTACTTTAATGTGCCCTACTTGTTCATGGATCTATTCTACAACCTTAAAAACCCTTTCAGGGTGAATTGAATTAGATATTGGTATGGAATAATAAAACTAATCCTACCATAGTCTACTCCATGGGGTGGTTACAGTTTAAGTTCATATAAGTTTGTATACAGGAAAAACATAAATGAAAGTGTTTATTTTTACATGCTTTGGGAGAAGTGTTTTTGGTTTTGTTGTTATTCTTTTGAAGTCCTATAGATGATAGTATTTTGGGAACAAAGTAGAGGGGAAAGAGTCCTTAAAATGGAATGAGAGTGATAAAACAGAGTGCTGTTGCCAGATATTAGAAAGCACACGGTCTGTAGAATTCAGCTGGTTCTTAGAAGTTCATTTCGTTGGATTTCAGGCTTTGCCTGATGTTATGCTGTGTACCGTTGTACTGAGTACTGTGAGGATGCTTTATAGATACTTTTGTTTTCTTTGTGGAATCTAACCTAGTGGTTTGTTGTTTGGGGTTATAGTGAAAGGTGATGATCTTCAGACAATTAAGAAGGAGTTGACCCAGATAAAACAGAAAGTGGATTCTTTATTGGAGAGCCTGGAAAAAATTGAGAAAGAACAAAGCAAACAAACAGGTAAATGGTGTTCTGTCTCAGATGTTGTTGGGTACTATTACCATCACAGACGGTAGTTGAAAGAATATGCTGTTGTAGTGGGATGTGAAACTTTGTGAAATTGGGAAGGGAATTTTTGTGGGAGGATTTAGACTCGTGCTGCAGTTGTATGATCATTAGCTGGGGATTGTCTACATCCTGTGGACATTACTTGCCCCCTAGACAGACTTGTCCTTCTCATCCCCAGTAGAGATGAAGAATGATAAGTCAGAAGAGGAGCAGAGCAGCAGCTCCCTGAAGAAAGATGAGACTAATGTGAAGATGGAGTCTGAGGGGGGTGCAGATGACTCTGCTGAGGAGGGGGACCTACTGGATGATGATGATAATGAAGATCGGGGGGATGACCAGGTGAAAACTATGGGGAAGGAAAGAAAGATATGGTGGAAGGGGTGGGACTAGGGACACTTGGAATGGTTCTAACAAAAGAACATTTTGTCTCTTTTGTAGCTGGAGTTGATCAAGGATGATGAAAAAGAAGCTGAAGAAGGAGAGGATGACAGAGACAGCGCCAATGGCGAGGACGACTCTTAAGCACACGTTGGGGTCTTAGAACTCTTGTCCCATTATTTCTTTACCTAGGCGCTTGTCTTTGATCAAACTTTTCACCAGATCCTCTCCCTTGGTATTTTCCAGCACATGTTCACTGTTGTACCCAACTTTATCCTTCCCATGTTCTGCCCTGCGCCTAGTCCCTCTGCCACCTCTTTCAATTCTCCTAGTAGTTATATTAAGTCTCCTGTAATTTTGCTCTTTTAATTTTGATACCTCTTTAAGACTTAACAATAAAAAGGATGTATGGTTTTTATCAGCTGTCTCCAAAGGAATCTCTTGTTGTGCAGGGAGTTAAGCACAGTTCTCTGTTCAATTCAAACATGAGACTTGTAGCTTCTTCCAAAAGTGAAAAGGCAATCTCATTTAACTCAGTTACCTGTACCTGAGAACTTTTGAGTGTCTTCTCCTCTACCTAGGATTACAGTGTGGGGCTACAAAAATGTAACTTTTTGTCAATGACAGTTGTCAGTAGAAATACATAAAGAGGTACATTCAGAAGAGGAATTAGTGTGTGCTTATATTTTTTTTTAAAACAGACTTTGTTTTCTAAAGTTGATATTGTGGGTTATTCATGTGAAACAGCCTGATGTTTGGAACTTTTTTCTCAAAATAAAAAATATATTAAACCAGGAATTTGAAGAGGCAAAAATGATCCCAACCCCTGGTTTTTCTTTTTACAAAGTTTTTCACTATTTTATAATTGTTTGGTTATTGAACATCCATGAAATTTCCATGAATTTAGCAGGTGTTTTTATTAGTAGTTAGTACTTAAGGATTTAGCACTTAGGTCATTTTATCCAGTTAATACACATGCCAGGTGTTTCTTGCTTAAAGTTTGTTGCAAAAGGCTGCGTTTGCCCAGAGTTGGGGGTTCTTTGTAGAGTGAATTTAGGGAGTTCATATGCCACCTCACTGGAATATTTTGAATTCTGTGGATCCTTTTTCAAAAGTCATCTGTGGTTATTTACATATTGGGAATTCAGTTTTAGTGAAAATAAATTGCATACCAGTCAGTAAATAACCAAGAGATACAAAGTTTAGACAGGACAATGGAATTTGAATAACATTATTATCATATAGTAAAAGAGAAGGGAAGACATCATTTAGCTTACTAAGGATTATGAGTGTCTCCTTAATAATTTTATTTAGGAAGACACTAATTCCTGCACAAAACAAAGGAGTTGAAACTATGATTGTTAGATGACTAAAGTAATTAAATGGAGCAAGAAGTGAAATTAAGGTACAAGATGGTGTCGGTTCATGGGTAGGTAGATTGAGGTTCATGATTAACAATGTTCTACATGGCAGGTTATCCTGTTAAATAGGAGAGATTGGTCTGCATGTACATTTGTCTTTTTTCATTTTTGCAAGTTACTAAAAATGGTGACAAGATCGTTTTGGTGATGCAAAGGTCAAAATAGACTGAATTTTGCAACCATTTTTACCCTTAATTTGGGCTTGAAAGGTTGCCTAATACCTGCATTACTATTCATAAAAAATAGACTGCAGCAAAGTCACATTATGCTATTTCTTGCTTTGGCCATTTTAGTTTGCAGTTAGAACATAGTGAGAGTGAGTCTCAAATCTTTCTGTCTTGTGCATTCTCTAAAACACTACAGGTCTATGTTTTTCCATTAGGAAACTGATATAAAAAGCAGATTGTCAGATTGTTTTCTTACTAGCAAGCCCTAAGTTCAAAGTACACGTTTACCAGCTGTTATTTCCAAATAGTGTCATTATTAGTTGTTCCAAAGCCAACTGTTTGTAAGGGTCTCCAGGTCACTACAGGGTAGTCCTTAGTAGCAATTTTTGAATCTTGTTACTAAAGCCCTAGCTTTTAAAAGACAGTAAATGTAATAGCTAGCTTTATATTAACACATAAAACATTTAGTAATTTCAGTTCATATACTCCTAGTAAATGGTTGAGTCAGTAATTTTTGGTCACATGACTCCCCATTTGCCTTCTCTGTCATTAAGGTTTTGGGCAAGTCAGTCTATACTTTCCTGTTTGCTAATTGGTATTAAGAAGGGGTTTAACTAAATGTCCTTAATCTAAGCCAGAAGGAACCTCTAAAATGGATATGATGGTCCTTTACACACAGGATGGTTGTGAGAGAAAAAAAAAGCGAAGTAGTTGAATTTTTTTGGGTGACTCCTATCTGTGCAAATACCTTATGCTTTCTTGCTATCTTTTGGGTTTGAATAAAAAAGTCCCCCATATTGGACCCTGCTTCAAATGCCCTGTATTTCAGTCTTCTCATTCAAAAATCCCATTTCCTTAGTTTTATTTACTACAGTTGCATGAGGGAAATTATTTCATCAAAGTAATTCATGTTAATGGCTTAATCTTTGCAGAGAATATTTTATTTTTAAAAAGGAAACATCTTAATTGAACCTCTTCTTGCTGGCATGTACCCTGGAGATATGAGTATTCCCACTACCTAAGCCCTCTGCCTACTGGGAAGTTGATAAGAAAATACCTTGTACATAGTGGGCACCATTTTTGGGGACAGATAGTATCCTTCTGGATACTATCTCCTCTCTGGGTTTCTATTTTTTTGTGTTTTTTTTCTTTCATTTTTTAAATTTTGTTTATTTTGATTTATCAGCAATCACTTCCATAGGCTTTTGAGTTTTAAATTTTTCTCCCCCTCCCTCCCTGCCTCCCTTTGCAAGACTGTGGGCAGTCTGATGTAGGCTATATGTGTACATTCCTATTAAACACATTTTCACATTAGTGATGTTGTAAGAATTAGAACCAATAGGAAGAACCACCAGAAAGAGGAAACAGAACACAATAGAAGAAAAAAAAATAGCAAATTGTATGCTTCAATCTGCATTCAAACTCCATAGTTCTTTCTTTGGATGTGGATAGCATTTTCTATCATGAGGCCTTTGGAGATGTCTTAGATCCTTGTGTTGCTGAAAAGGATTAAGTCTATCAATATTAGTCATCACACAAGGTGGCTGTTACTGTGTACAAAGTTCTGGTTCTGCTCACTTCATTCAGCATCAGACCATACAAATTTCCAGGTTTTCCTGAAGTCTGCGTGTTCATCATTTCTTATAGCACAATAGTATTGCATTACATTCACCATGGTAGGCACTTTGTGAGTGTTTATCGAATCTACAGAAATGCTTGTCTTGGATCCCAATACAAGTGGAAATATCTCAGCCTGGGGTTTACTAGGCTGAACTGGGTGTCATATGAGTGAACGGTACAGGAACCTTAGAGATATTGCTATAGGGTAGTCCAGAAGAACATTGTAAAAAGGGTTCTAAAGATTTAATGATCATTAAAAGGCCCACCAGCTCTAAAAAAACCATATGATGTAATAAAATCTGCCATGTGTACCAGGGTTTTAGGTAAACATTTTCTATAGAACTCCTGGTTGAAAGTTAAAATGTTCTATTTTTACCCTTCCATTCATTCATTCCTGTGGGCTTTTTTCACCTCTTTTTTTCCCCCCAGATTGCCCTAGCTATCAACAAGTAGAAAGTAACATCTTTAGAGGAAGTGGCCAGTAGTGTTTTGTTGGCAAGGGTTAGTTAATAGGGCAGTTATAGATGGCTCAATGGATAGAGTTTCAGGCTTGGAGTCAGGAAGACTCCTCTTCCTGAGTTCATATTTGGCCTCAGACAGTTAATGAGGTATGTGACCCTGGACAAATCACTTAATCCTGTTTGCCTCAGTTTTCACATCTGTAACATGAGCTGGAGAAGGAAAAGATAAACCACTCCACTGTCTTTGCCAAGAAAACCCCAAATAGGGTCTCGAAGAGTTGCACACAACTGAAATTCCTCAACAACAAAAGTTAAAAGAAGGGGCAGACTTTAGTAAAGATACTTCAAATGATGACTTTGAACAGCCAGGGATCCAGTTTAACCCAAACAAAGGGTATGTGACTGGGGCAGTTTGAGGTTTTTCTGGTGCTCTTTTAATTGAATTACATGGGCATGCATCTAGACACAAATCTGGTTGTCAAGCACGACAGACACATAATTCAGTCCTAGGACTGGAGAAGCATTTAGCGATCATCTTGTCCAATCTTACTTTACAGATGAAGGCCCAGAGTAGCTTCCATTCCTTCCGTGTCCCACGTGATCTCAACTTTGTGTCTGTCTGTTGCTCCTTTTACTGGTGATTCCATATTTGTGTTTTGTTGATGCCCAAGGATTTGTATCAGGTAAAGAATATAATTGCATTATAATGATGGAAGACTGAACTCATCTGAAAAGGGAAAAAAAAAAAGGAATGGGATACCATCTCATGTCATATTTCAAAATTGGTCAAGATAGGAGTTAAGAAACAAAAAGATCCCTTGATATAAAGAAGCAGTAGCAGTATTTATAAAAACAGATTACTGTCAATTTCTGTCCATCACTTTGTGCTATTTAGCACCTGGATACTGATCCATAAATTATAGTGAGGAAAAGATAATTGACAATATAAGAAAACAAATACAAACTTATTGGGTATCTGTTATTGGCCATGTGTGTTATGTGTGTATTTATGTTATGTGTTAGCCACATTCTGAAACATCATTTACCTGGGACCCAACAGCTGCAATTGTCTAGGCTTGCTTAGGTAGAACAGCAGGCAGACTTGTGAGCTAAAGCCACTTTTTGAACATCAAAAGTTCTATATGTCAATTATTTGGTCAGGAAGATGATTGAAGAGGCAGCGAAAGGGATAGAGGAGCAGTTAGAGAGTGGAGCAGCTGAAGTCAAGGGAAGAGAGTTGAGGGGTGGGGAACAGCCTCAAAACCTTCAGCAGTGGTGTAGAATGGGTGGAGTGACAGGGAAAGGATGGGAAGCTGCAAATCTAGACATACTGTTGAATGAAAAAACACTTTTTAAGCTTTTAAGCAAAAGTATACAAATCAGAAAAGAATCTCTGATCTTAAGGACACTTAATCATAAGTTCACATAGTAATTGGGGAAGATATTTTGTATAGAAAGTGGTAGATTTGGAATTTAAACTTAGTTCCCTTTAACCTTATCACTTTCTGTTGTAGCAAGCTATTTATTGCACGTCTGGTTGGAATGCCATTAACTCAAGGAGGAAAAAGAGACAAGCAAAAGCTGTTGTGCTACTGTTGAGGTCTGAGGGGTTGTGACCCCTCAAAGACTGAAGTACAGGATGGGTCGTCTGGAATGAATTCACAGACTCAAGCATTTTTTAAGTTAAGGTGGCAAAGATTTATTGTTACGCTTTTCGGCAGGCAAGGATTCTTAAGGAACCTGGAATCTTAGACGGGTACAGTTAAAGTTTCTATAGGATAAAATACAATAAAACATGTGCCAAATATGCTAAGTAGGGGATTCAGGGTGGGATTAGGGAGTGGTTAAGGAGTGGTCAGTTCTTAAAAGAACATGCACTTCTTGTACCTACTGCACAGGCATTTTACCCAGAGTTCATTAGGAAAAGCCCACAAGGGGGGGCCACACGGAGGTCTGGTTTTAGGCCTGCTATGTCACTAAGTCAACTAGGGTTCAGGGTAACTGAGAGTTGTCCAGTCTGCCACCAATCAGTGTCTTGTTTGACAAGATAGATGTAGGGAGTATGCATATGTCTTAAGTTTAGAATACAGTTAATGAGGAGTCCAGGATGTAGATAATAAGGTAGGGCA